TTTGTCATGCTAAGATGGTTTGAATGATATACAGGGTTAGTCCCCAGGGATCATCCTGACCCCCTGCCATTTGAGAAAGTTCTAATATCTTGTAAATGATCGAGATCCCCACCCCTAAACCATATATATTCTGGTTTGTCATGCTAAGATGGTTTGAATGATATACAGGGCTAGTCCCCAGGGGTCACCCCGACCCCCTGCCATTTGAGAAAGTTCTAATATCTTGTAAATGGTCGAGATCCCCACCCCTAAACCATATATATTCTGGTTTTTCATGATAAAGCACATCAAATAAAATACAGGGTTATTCCCCAGGGGTCACCCCCACCCCCTGCCATTAAAGAAAGTTCTAATATCTTGTAAGTGGTCAAGATCCCCACCCCTAAACCATGTATATTCTGGTTTGTCATGTGAAGATGGTTTGAATGATATACAGGGTTAGTCCCTAGGGGTCACCCCCACCCCCTGCTATTTAAGAAAGTTCTAATATCTTGTTAATGGTCAAGATCCCCACCCCTAAACCATATATAAACTGGTTTGTCATACCAAGATGGTTTGAATGATATACAGGGTTAGTCCCCAGGGGTCATCCCGACCCCCTGTCATTTGAGAAAGTTCTAATATCTTGTAAATGGTCGTGATCCCCACCCCTAAACCATATATATTCCTGTTCGTCATGTCTCGAACATTTGAATGACTTTTAGGGTCAGTCCCCAGGGGTTCCCCCCACCCCCAATGTTCTAGTATCTTGTAAATGGTCGAGATCCCCACCCCTAAACCATATATATTCTGGTTTGTCATGCCAAGATGATTTGAAAGATATACAGGGTTAGTCCCCAGGCATCACTAATGCATATAACTTTACTGGACCAAACCAATTTTCACTGGACTTTGTCCAATGTCAGGCGACCCTGGGAATTACGAATTATTTAACTTGTAAATGCTATGATTTTTTTATTTTAAAGGTCTTTTATAAAGTAAACAGTAACTGTGCTAGGAAGTTATGCAAAAATCAGATGTAAGCAGTCATTTCAATCAAACATTTAGTGAATTTATGCACCAGACTGATATCTTCATAAATACAACTTTTGCAAATATGGCTTTGTTTAAACACTTCTAGGACATATATTAACTAACTTATGTTAGATATATGATTAGGGATGATACTGTTGTGACAAGAATTCTAAACTGACCATTTGAGGCAGAAATTGTGAACTTTCATTGACAAATAGGCATACAGTAAGATGTGGACTGGAGACACAGGCAGGATTGGATACTTTGTATAATCTTGAATGTTGGAATGCTTAACTACTAAACAATACATTCATAGTATTCTAAAATGCTTTCAATTTGTTATCAGAATAGTTTCAAACAGGTTTTAGACAGTTTCTGTCAGAAAACATGCACATAGGGTAAGCTGGCAATAATTAGAGTCTTGTTTTCAAAATCTTTAAAAAATTGAAACAGGGGTAGGGGTATAAAATGTACTGTAAAAGGAGACTTAGAGTATATGCAGTGATTTCTTTAAAGCTATAATTCTGATAAATAAGTATTGTTGTGAGAAAAAGTGTTTTTAGAGAGTTTTCTATTTGAATAAATGTTTGTATATAGGGTTAAAAAATAGAACATACAGAATTTCACAAAATCTGGTTTATCTCAGAGATTTTAAAGAATTTAACTCAAATATGAAGTTTTATAAATATTTCATGAAGATTGAGAAAATCCTGGGCCTTAACTATGATGACTCAGCATAAATTCACAGTTTACAGTATGCATGGTTTACTTAAAGCCCTGAATTCAAAATAAATTCATAATATATGCCTATTTGTAATTTAAATTGTTTAGAAGTGCTTATATTTACTCTTCGCAGTAATTACAACTCATTGATCCTTCCTAAATATTTCTGGTGGGGTGTTTTTGTCCTGTCGATAACCCAAAAGGAAGCCGTAACGCCTAAATGTGTTTTTTTGTGACTGCGGCATAAAAAAGTACAAGCTAGAATTACAAAAAGACCTCAGTAAAACTTACAATAGTGTGTTCTATCCTAAATATGTAGTAAATATTCCACATTGCCAGAAACAGGGAAAAAAATTAGGAAATGTGATGCCCCAGGGGCAAAACACAGAGAAAAATGCCTACCCCTGAGTCATAAAACAGATAATTTAACTTGTAAATTCTATGATTTTTTTTATTTTAAAGGTCTTTTATAAAGTAAACAATAACTGTGCTAGGAAGTTATGCAAAAATCAGATGTAAGCAGTCATTTCAATCAAACTTTTAGTGAATTTATGCACCAGACTGATATCTTCATAAATACAACTTTTGCAAATATGGCTTTGTTTAAACACTTCTAGGACATATATTAACTAACTTATGTTAGATATATGGTTAGGGATGATACTGTTGTGACAAGAATTCTAAACTGACCATTTGAGGCAGAAATTGTGAACTTTCATTGACAAATAGGCATACAGTAAGATGTGGACTGGAGACACAGGCAGGATTGGATACTTTGTATAATCTTGAATGTTGGAATGCGTAACTACTAAACAATACATTTATAGTATTCTAAAATGCTTTCAATTTGTTATCAGAATAGTTTCAAACAGGTTTTAGACAGTTTCTGTCAGAAAACATGCACATAGGGTAAGCTGGCAATAATTAGAGTCTTGTTTTCAAAATCTTTAAAAAATTGAAACAGGGGTAGGGGTATAAAATGTACTGTAAAAGGAGACTTAGAGTATATGCAGTGATTTCTTTAAGGCTATAATTCTGATAAATAAGTATTGTTGTGAGAAAAAGTGTTTTTAGAGAGTTTTTTATTTGAATAAATGTTTGTATATAGGGTTAAAAAATAGAACATACAGAATTTCACAAAATCTGGTTTATCTCAGAGATTTTAAAGAATTTAACTCAAATATGAAGTTTTATAAATATTTCATGAAGATTGAGAAAATCCTGGGCCTTAACTATGATGACTCAGCATAAATTCACAGTTTACAGTATGCATGGTTTACTTTAAGCCCTGAATTCAAAATAAATTCATAATATATGCCTATTTGTAATTTGAATTGTTTAGAAGTGCTTATATTTACTCTTCGCAGTAATTGCAACTCATTGATCCTTCCTAAATATTTCTGGTGGGGTGTTTTTGTCCTGTCAATAACCCAAAAGTAAGCCGTAACGCCTAAATGTGTTTTTTTGTGACTGCGGCATAAAAAAGTACAAGCTAGAATTACAAAAAGACCTCAGTAAAACTTACAATAGTGTGTTCTATCCTAAATATGTAGTAAATATTCAACATTGCCAGAAACAGGGAAAAAAATTAGGAAATGTGATGCCCCAGGGGCAAAACACAGAGAAAAATGCCTACCCCTGAGTCATAAACAGATAATTTAACTTGTAAATGCTATGATTTTTTTATTTTAAAGGTCTTTTATAAAGTAAACAATAACTGTGCTAGGAAGTTATGCAAAAATCAGATGTAAGCAGTCATTTCAATCAAACTTTTAGTGAATTTATGCACCGGACTGATATCTTCATAAATACAACTTTTGCAAATATGGCTTTGTTTAAACACTTCTAGGACATATATTAACTAACTTATGTTAGATATATGATTAGGGATGATACTGTTGTGACAAGAATTCTAAACTGACCATTTGAGGCAGAAATTGTGAACTTTCATTGACAAATAGGCATACAGTAAGATGTGGACTAGAGACACAGGCAGGATTGGATACTTTGTATAATCTTGAATGTTGGAATGCTTAACTACTAAACAATACATTTATAGTATTTTAAAATGCTTTCAATTTGTTATCAGAATAGTTTCAAACAGGTTTTAGACAGATCATGTCAGAAAACATACACATAGGGTAAGCTGGCAATAATTAGAGTCTTGTTTTCAAAATCTTTAAAAAATTGAAACAGGGGTAGGGGTATAAAATGTACTGTAAAAGGAGACTTAGAGTATATGCAGTGATTTCTTAAAGGCTATGATTCTGATAAATAAGTATTGTTGTGAGAAAAAGTGTTTTTAGAGAGTTTTCTATTTGAATAAATGTTTGTATAGGTTGCACTTTGTAAATACAGCTGTTTCTCAAACCACGCCTCTTTTGGGGAGATATTTAATATTCATAGGTATGTTAATTTGTTAATGTACTGGTTCCCATTGATGATCTCTGTGTTTCATCTCATAGAGACATCATTTGGGAATGTAACCAGTATAGAAAAACATGGTAGCGGCTAAATTGTAATTCTTAGGAGGTCCAAAAATGGAGGTAAGGGTAGTATAGAATTTTAGTATAAGTTTAAACTCTTAGAAGTTCAGGGCATATAAATGTTGAAAATATGCCGCACAGCCCTATATTTTGACCTTTGAATAAAATAGTAGTGCATATAAACTTTCCGTTCTGGGATATTATTTTTCACGAAACTTCATAGTAAAAGTGTCACAGTTTTAGCCGCAAAGGGAGTTCCTATGGGAAATTGCATTGTCTGTATTTACAGATTTGCAACCTACAAACGTATATACAAAATAGAAAGAAAAACAGTTTTAACTAATAGATAACTAATTTTAATGGATTGAACAAATGCATGTATGGTAGGCTTCAAGAATCATTTTAAAATATATTTATGCAAAATCAATAGCTTGTTTGTGTCTGTTTAAAGATTAATATTATGTGTTAAAATGCTGTATAAGTATTATTATTGAAACACTAAATTGACGATGAAGTATTTTCGTGGTATAACCACTGAACCATTCAATATGGTAAGATAATATCTTAATCTCACATTTTGATATCCAGTACACAATTGTGTTATGATTACAAATGAAACAAAGAATAAAGGTGTCATTAAACTAAACAATGTAGTTTTGTTGTGCATTTTTGCGTTTTTGTCAAAAAAAGTATGACTGGACATTGAGACATATTTTTTTTTTTAGTACTGTTTTAGATGATCCTATATATGGTTTATAATATGACATACGTATATATATATATATAACAGAGGGAAAGAATATTTCTAATGAAAAGAAACAAAACTGTATCAATGAAAAGACTAGATTATTCGGGTGAATGAAAATGTTCATGGAGTTAGAGTATTTGAAACTCCAGTTTTCTGGTTTCTGTAAAGTGAAACATTCGAGGTCTGTGGTAATTTTAGGGAAAACGTCATACAGAATTTTGTTTTTAAAACAAAGCGATGTGTACCATGACTAGACAAAAATACAAAGGTGTCGAGAAAAGCTTAGTGAACACAAACGTGGCAATAAAAAAAGTACAAACAGCATATGAATAAAAGATAAATGTGTATTTTTCATTCTTGTGTCAAATTATTTTTACAGTGGCCTTTATAAACACACTACATTACCATTGGTATCTACAAGTCATCCCCAGACTGCCATTTTCACCATGTTAAATCTTTCTTTTAATCTAAATTCTGATGAGTTACTCCAAAAAAAATTTTGGGCCAGACAGCAAATTCTAACCTTCATCTTACAGTCGAATATAACCTAATAAAAAAATTGACAAAATGTTATGTCAAAGATTAATTCATGGAATTTTCAAATGGAAACTAAGAAGAAAATGCAAGGAACTACATTTGTATCTTTTCCTACGTATTAACACTTCGTTTTGCTGCAACGTCAGTAACAAAGCCTTACAGCACACAGTGTTGTATGACGTCAGATGACTGAACTAATCGGATTTATTTCATATAGTGAAACTTATCTAAAATACCAGGCTTATAATGTTGTACACCAGACGCGCGTTTCGTCTTCATAAAACTCATCAGTGACGCTCGAGTCAACACAGTTACAATGCCAATACAAGTACGAGGACCATTGAGGACCATTAATTAAAAAAAAAAACATTACCAAATACGGTCAAGTTTATCTGTGCCTGGGTAAAAATCCTTTGTAGAATTATCGGTTTGTTTTATACTGAGAAATCACGAGAATTCATGCAACCAATGTAACTTTACACGATGAAGTGCGAGAAATTACTAACTTATGATATCCCGGCTATTAGTATTCGATATAGAGGAAATTGATAAACGATGAATGTGAAGACGCATCATACGGTTGAGTATGCTTACATAAGGTTTGATACCAGAATTCAGGAAGCAGTGATTTGCAGTTCTTCAGACAATTGCGACGTAACTGTCACCTATGGCCATTATGTGTAGGAATATATAAGTATCCGGTGAACAGGTAGTTGAGGGCCGATGGATGTGAAAACACACCACACAGTACAGCATGCTCATATGAAGCTAGATTTTAAATTTCAGAAAACTGTTCTTGGAGAAAATCAATAACTGATAGTATACTCTCCTATGCAACAGAAATACACACGCTTAAAATTTTCCTTAATTGGGTTTGTTTCAATTCAGATACTGGTAAAAATAACTTCTTTTGAGATCTAATTTTAATCTACATTTGTAAAGGAGTAAAACATCACAAAAAAAAATAAATGTAATTTTAATCAATCACATTTGCCAAAAAATTTCAAATTTATATACGGATCCTTTGAAAGCTTTGAAATTTAAAATAATCAAAAAAAAAAATTCTAAAAAATGGGATGTAATTTAAATCAATTACAATTGCCCAAAAAGTTCAAATTTCTTTACGGATCCTTTAAAAGCTCTGAGATTTCAAAAAATCCAAAAGAGTCAAGGGACTGATGGCAACTAAAACGCTTCTATCAAAGGACATATGTAAAAATTCGGTCGGACAGGCAGACAGTTCCAATACGCCTATATGGCTGCCTCATTGGCAATATGATAATGATGTTGAAAAGAATAAATAAATTGGATTTTGTTTCTTAGCATAAAATGTGCAGTTCAAATGATCTAGGCCGTACGGTGACGTATAGTTGTTTAAGAGAGGCAAAAGATACCAAAGGTACATTCAAACTCGTAAGTCGAAAATAAACTGACAACGCCATGTTAACTTCTATGTCTTTTAGTCTTTTGGTGGAGAGTTGTCTCAATGGTAATCATATCACTTCTTCTTATTTTTATATAACCAGTATTTTGTCATCATGAAATCGAATACTAGTACATACGTTCTTAAAGGTGCATTTCAATTAATTTTTCAAAAGTAAACCTACGGGAGCTGTGCATAAATGTTAATAAATATAGCATAGTGCATGGTATTATTATAATTTAGTTATTGAATGAATGATATCAAAAATAGGAGGGAAAAGGAGAAATCTTTCACTGATTCAAATCTAAACTATTACAACACACCTTGCTTCAATAAATACATTTAATAGGGAAATTATTTTGTTTTTGTTGAAATTCTTGATTCTAATATCTAACTATTCATTAGATCAGATATCGCTTGAATTCACACACAGATTTCAAAGTGCACTCTATTTGATACAATATATTACATCCTATCAAATCAAATATCTTCAGAGAAAGTATGACAACAAACGGGTCAAAAGATGGAAAAACTAATATCATTCTATGTAATATCTTTCATTCGTAGACGGTATACAATAACATCAAGTATAATGATTCAAATGTAGGGTTTATTCATCACCTTACATTATTTTTTTCTCTCTCAGAAATGAATACGTACAGAAATCCAACAAAAAACCACCCACCAATGTCACAACGAAATCAATTCTTTTGCAGTTTTATTAATTTATGTTCTGTTTTAACTGCAAGGCCAATTCTACAAATACATACAACATTTACAAATTGTATGTCTGAATAGTATTTAAATGTACTGAAAAGGATAGAAACAAAAACTTTAAAACAAAAGGGAAAGTAACCTGTTGCTTACCTTCATTTACAACTGAGCATACCGTATCTGACATAATGGCTATTATGAATGTTCAGGTACTCCTGTCTCAGTTCTAAGCATTTTCTCTCCAGCTGCAATTAAAGTTACCTATTAGTAAGGTACTTATTAAATGATAATTGACATGCATTGTATTGAAATGTCCATGTATTGTTACCTTACATATTGTTTCCAGTTAAATTTATGTGATTACTAATAATCAAATAGCATGAAAAGAGAAGGTATGAAAATGCCATTTGTTTTCCCCTTTAATTCAAATATGAAAATAATATTATAAACCTAGCATTTGCCAGTTTTTAGATGTACAAACGACATTAGTTTAACAGGTATCGTTATTTATATTATCGAATTTGTCTTAAATATATGAAATAAGGCTTCAAAATTCCTAAATATAGAGCATAACTCCAATACAATGCTTCGCTTGGCGCAGCTTGATACGACCGCAGAGGTCGAACCATGAACTGGTGGGGCAAGTATGAACACTACATTCAAGCTTAAACAGCTCTGAATTTGGATTGTGATTGAATATTTGACACAGCATAGGTTTGTGACACAAAATGAGTGTGGTCAAAGAACTGAAAAATTTGAAAGTTCAACTTTCCTTTTGAACTATGGAACCTTGAGGTAAAATTTCATAGAGATCCATACTCTTATACACAAATTATTGTCCTGAAACATGAAAAATGCATCATTTTGGCCCTTAATTACTAAACAGTTACGACAATAACCCTCAAAATAAATCCCAACCTTCCTATTGTGGTATGGAACCTTGTGCTAAAATTCAACAGAGATCCATACACTTATACTCAAGTTACATGTATTGTCTGTGAACCAGAAAAATAATTGTTTTTGTAGGCCATTTTAGGTCCCTAATTACTAAACAGCTACGACAATAACCCCCAAAATAAATCCCAACCTTCCTTTTGTGGTATGGAACCTTGTGCTAAAATTTTATACAGATCCATACCCTCATACTCAAGTTATTGTCTGCAAACCAATGTGCTGTCTATGAACCAGTAAAAATGCTTCTTTGTGGCCCCTTTTTGCCTCTAATTACAAAACGTCTATGACAATACACCCCAAAAACAATCACAACCTTCCTATTGTGGTATGGAACCTTGTGCTAAAATTGCATAGAGATCCATACACTTATACTAAATTTATTGTCTGCGAACCAAAATGTCTTCGGACGCCGAAATCGCCATAACATAAAACGAGCGCAAAAAACTTTGCAGTCGTATAAAAACTGCCAAAACGGCCTCATTTTGTGACCCTGTTATTATTACTAAAGATAAAAACAAAAGCTTAACACCAACAGACATAATTGTGCCACAAAATAATTTTTTATAGATATGTAAATGTCGGTAAAATGTCTTTTTTGGTAAAGCTTTTGCTCATATCCATTTTATCCCAAAAATATGCACAAAATGGTAATTTTTTGTATAATATGTAAATTTAAATATGTTTATGACATCATCGTGACAACGCAAGTGATCTTTCTACACCAAAGTTTCAATGTTATAAAAACGCAAAGATACCAGGCCAAAAATTGGGTACGCCAGCCTCTCGTTCCGTCAACATTAGACACAACCGTGGCGCTCGATTCAAAAGAGATGGAAGGCCAATTCAAATTCGAAGATGAGAAGCAATAAAGATCAAAAGGTCTGAGAAGTTGTGTCAAATTTTGCTCAAGTAATCTAGATAATCCCCAGAGTTACGAATAATCTAACATTGTATAATCGGTAAATTTACAGAAAATGAAAACATCATGGATATTTCATGTCAACACAGCACAAAAGAACAAACTACTGAGCTTCTGGTACCCTAGGAGATAACACGCCCATTAGCAGTGGCATCGACCTAGTAGTTGCAACAACGATTCAAAGATTCCTGGTCATTTATCCACAAAATCAACATAATTTTGAAAGTCTTAAATTTAGTATTTTTGCAATTTCAGGGGCTAAATAATGGTTCTTGTCATATCTCCTTCTTTGACTGTATTTTGCAGTTTCTTGTTTTATGCTATTTTGAGAATCAGTTCATCTTTGAATACTAAGTACTGAAAAGTATGGCATCTATGAAAGTAATACACAGTATCTTGTACACAAGTGTTCGTGTTTGCTGTTCACTGGTACATTGGACTTATTATTAGTGTTTTGTTGTGGGAACGGCAGTTTTTTGTCGATCTGATTGGTCCATAAGTTACTGGTACCTATACTAGGACACGAAATTTGATGAGAGTCTACCAAAGTATCAAAGCAGATGTGTTTTTGAAATATTTCGTGGTTTCAGATAAAACGTTATTCAAAACCGGTTACTTTTTTAAACTAGAATCACGTAAAAATCATCAGTTCAGCGAAGTTTCTAAGAATGTGGCCTTATTGTTCTCAGATACATTTTTTTAATATTTACCAATCAGAAGAAAGAATAAAATGCTCGACAGGGCGCAGCTTGATACGACCACAGAGATCGAACCCTGAACAGTTCCGGCAAGTATGGACAAAAAATTCAAGCTTGATACAGCTCTGAATTTGGATTGTGATTAAATAAACACAGCAAAGGTTTCTGACACAGTATGAATGTAGTCTAAGAACTTAAAAAATTGAAATTCGACATTTACCTATTAGGGTCCAATATCCAATATATATATATATATAAATAAGAAGATGTGGTATGATTGCCAATGAAACAACTCTCGACTAGAGACCAAATGATATAGAAGTTAACAACTGTATTTCACCGTACGGCCTTTAATGAGCAAACCCATACTGCACTGTCAGCAAAAAAGGCCCCGAAATGACAAATGTAAAACAATTCAAAGAGAAAACTAACGGTATGATTTATGTACAAAAAAATGAACGGAAAAACAAATAAAATATACAGCAACAAACGACAACCACTGAATATAAGGCTCCTGACTTAGGACAGGCACATTCAGAATGTGGCAGAGAATAAAATGTTTCTGGGCGCCTCCACCCCCCCCCCCCCCCCCCCCCCCACCTTAACCTCGGACATTGGCGTAACATAACAACATATGAACGAAACATGGTTAGATTCAGCAAATAAAAAAACCGCAAGCGTTAAATTGTTGTTGAAATCAAACAAAGTTTATTTTGAACCTTTTTTTTACCTCAATGTGGACCAATTCGATAACGGGGCCCAAAATCCAAAATCTAAATACATGTTTAGATTCAGCATATCAAAGAATCCCAAGCATTTTATTTTTGTTAAAAATCAGACAAAGTTTAATTTGGACCCTTTGGACCTTAACCTTTACCAATTTGAAAACGGGGTCCAAACATAAAAAAATCTAAATACACAGTTAGATTCGGCATATCAAAGAACCCCAAGAATTCAAGTCTTTGAATGAAACCGAATTATAACCCATTGAAATTGGTAAAGAAATAATCAATTTATACAAAGTATTATAAAAGTATTGTGTTGGCCCCTTTTCCTAAACAGTTAGAGCCATAATCCCCAAAATCAATCCCAACCTTCATTTGTTGGTATGAAACCTTGTGGTACAATTTTATAGCGATCCATAGAATTATACTCAAGTTATTGTTCAGAAACAAGAAAAATGCTTGTTTTCGTCATCTAATTCAAAAACGGTTAGGACAATAACCCCAAAAATCAATCCCAACCTTTCTTTTGTGGTATGAAACCTTGTGGTACAATTTCATAATACTCAAGTTATTGTCTGGAAACCAAAATGTCTTCGAACGACTTCGTCGACGACAACAACGCCATACCATTATACGACTGCAACAATTTTGTGGTCGTATAAAAATGTCTCAGACGGTCATGTTTTATAACACTAAAATGATGATGATTATCTATAAACAGTCATTTATATATTATCCCATTGTAGCTGGACATATATTCATGTGTTCATCTTCTTTACTGATATTGCGTGACCAACAAGTCAGTGAAGGAGATGACAACATGCTTAATCGATTCGTGCGATTTGCACATCGATGAACTACTGTCGCCTAATTCATGTCTATTGGTAGCATCTAAGGATACTTAGAAGACAAACATCTTTCCTCGATTGTCAATTGGTTAAAATGGATGTGTTTTCATAGAGCAATTTTTGAAATGTTAACGGATCACGGACACCAGAGGACGCATGACTAGGGATTGCAATAGATCAAATGGCCGGGCAGAAGTTAGTTGTTCATTGCTGGAGGTGAAACGGATGTGTATTCATAGAGCAATTTGTGAAATGTTAACGGATCGCATACACCAAACGACACATGTCTAGTGATTGCAATAGATCAAATGGCCAGGCAGAAGTTAATTGTTCATTGCTGGAGGTAAAATATTAGTAATCTTATTGAACATTTTGGTGCTCCATTTCATGTAGGAAACATCTATTTCAAATTTCCATTCGCAATAAAATTATCACCCGTATGATGTCTGACAACTTACTTTTTGTATGTTTCATTAAAATGCTTACAATTAATGCAAAGGTAATAATAATGTACCTGTTGAGGACTTCGTTTTTCGTTTATAGCAAAACACTATAACAATAACAATAACAATAAATAGGCAGCCCGTTGGAATTATACTTGCTATCAATATGGTCTTTAACATGTGATCCTTTTCTGAAAAAGTAACCAACACTGTAAATAGATCTTTGAATATTGTTTTTATTGGTATAAATATTTATTTTGTTATTAGTAAATTAAAATCATGCTAAATAGTTTTGTTATACACATATGCACATTAACGGTACTGCAATTTGTTGATACCCTTATTTTGGAATTGCACAAGGTCATGTTTTTCCTCTGACTGTTAATGACGTCTTTACACTAAATCCATTGGATGTTTAATGTGTACTAATTGATATTTTAATCTTAGATAGATAATTTTTCTATTAGTTTTTATTGGCTTTGAACTAGCTGTTAGTAACTGCGAGTACTCTCAGATCTGTACTTAGTGTCTTTTTTGTTGTTAGAGATGAGGGATGGATAAATACCCTGCCACGTCCGGTTTTTGCTTTTATTTGATGTTGTTTCTGCTTTGTATCGATCTGATGAGTTAGCCTTTTTCAACTGATTTTTATAGTTTGTTCTTATGTTTTACTGTTACACCACTGTCTCAGGTTGGGGAGGGTTGAGCGCTCACAAGCATGTTTAACCCCGCCACATTCTGTATTTGCCAGTCCCAAGTCAGGAGCCTGTAGTTCAGTGGTTGTCGTTGGTTCTTGTCTGTCATATTTGTTTTTCGTTAAGTGCTTTCTTATAAATTAGGTCGTTAGGTTTCTCATTTGAATTGTTTCATGTTTTTCATGTCTGAGCATTTTATAGTAAACTATATGGTTTTTTCTCTCATTGTTGAAGGCCGTACGGTTGCCTTTAATTGCTTACATCCACTGTATTTGAACTTTGGTGGATAGTTGTCTCATTGGCAATCATACCTGATCTCCTTATTTTTATATGTAGAAAAATAAGATAAGTTTGCGTAAGTCTATGCAACATTGGCATATAAGATAGACAAAAAAAAACCAACAAAAAAACAAAGCAAAAAAAAAAACAAAAACAAAAACAACAACAATCATGTGTTTGTTTTGCTAGAATGATTTTAACATGATTTCGGTAGACTGAATAGAATCTTCTCAAACAAATACTGTTATGCGGATAGAATCTCTATACAATTTGCCATTTCACAATATATAAATATTAACGATACCTAATTGCAAAAGGTAAGTATGATTGTCCAGAAATCCAAGCAATGGCATATGACTGCTTCTAGACTGCGAATGATTGCATTTATTTTCACATAAATCTGACAAATTACCTTCTGCTTTCGCTGAATGAATAAAAGATTTTATCAATTCTACAAATTATAAAATTCCATTCTTTATAATTATCAAGAATTTAAATTGGGTTAGTTTTATTTTACAAATCCCTCTCCCACAAAAATGGTACCTATTCAAGATTTGTTTATGTTATCGAACTCAGCCGTTGTTCTGGTGAGGGGAAAATTCATCCAAGTTCAATAAAGACAATCAGATGTCAGTGAATGAACTTATTCAATTTATTCAATTGCTGATGCCAGAGATCAACCACAGTCTTTGTTGCGTTCGTTTAAATCTATACTATTAAATGAGAAGACCTCATTTTGTGTGTCGCTTCTCTTCTTTCCACAATAAATTATTCATTATGCCTGTGTGTCCTGTAGGTACCATGCATAGTCGCATTTGTCATCCTCGCTTATGATTATTCCGTTTGGGTTATTTTGGGTGGACAACGAAAATAAAGGCGTCCAGATATTGTTTCCGTCATCGGACGGACTTTTAAGTCAAAGACAAGACTTCCGTTTAGGACTGTTTAGGGAAAACGGTATTATTTGTTCTGCCAACGGCGAAAATACTAACATTTTCTAAATTTACCACTTTTTATAATAAAAACCCCGATAAAACAATTATGTTTGTTGTTCGTACTTTTTTATTCTGTTTTGAAAATTGAAGCCAAATAGTATCATGACTAACTTCCAATGGAGCTTGTTAATGTTATCCATGCCCACTGTCATTTTACACCAAATTTATGAAATTTTTGAAGTCTTTTCGAATAATTCTCTAGAAAATATTTCAATAGGTTTCAAAATTTATATTGTAAATATACACACTGCAGTTATTCATAGATAAATAAAAAAAATATATTGTACCCTAACATCCAAATACAGCGCTCCTAAGTTGACTTCCTTCACCTGCCTTGGGTACACAAAAGGCCAACCTAATGCTTGGAAAATGTAATAGTACCGTTTTCCCTATACTGTGACATAAAGATATAAAGATTTCTTATGACACCATTAATGCAATACTTGGTTATTGTGAAAACCTTGGCTATAATAAATACTTTTATGTTCCCATTACTTAACGAAACATGGATCATTTAATGTCCCCATCCCTACATGCTGGTTTACCTCTTTCTCTACTTCTTTGAGATAAGGCTTAATAAACAACCTGTATCCAATCATATCTTATCTTATTTAAAAAGAATAATAAACAGTTCCATTTAAACAGATAAAAATAACAGTTCCATTCAATTTGTATTCATTTCATCAAAAAATTTACAACATAAGCACAAACTCAAGATTTTTCATACTAATCTCCATTCCATGCTTTAGTATATGCCATATAGTGGTTCAAAGTTTCAGAGCTTGTTATAAAATCCAATATTCTGTCTTGAGATGATGAAAACATAGATATTAGACACTTTCAACATTAGATATGCAAAATACTCAGCTGTAAAGTTGCCTTTGTTGCCTGTATTAATCTATGAAAAAGCTGAATTATGTCCCTTGGGAGTATTAATTTCCAACAAAAGTCCTTTCAAACAGTAGAAAATGAAAAATTATATATGCCTGATATAATAAAAGATAGAAACTACAAAATGAAGCACTATTGAAATATTTGCTGCATGAATTGCCAAGAATATGACCAATTCTTTACACAGGAGAGTATAAATTCTATCTAAATTTAGCCTCAAGTGGGCCTCTTTTTTTCTTAGATGGACAATTTTAACACTGAAAATGCTTCTAGTATGACCAAATATTGCCATACTCCATAAACAGTACAAACTTAACCAGACAATTTCCCATTTTAATAGATTATGTCTACAGAAATACCCAAGTGATACATTTAGGGAATTACACAGCTAAAAAGGCAAATATTTCAGTTAAAAATATTTGTCGAGACTTGAATTCTGGTGTTTCCAATTGAATTAATCATTGCGAAAGGTGAAAACAAATACAAAAGAACTATAGTTTGGTGCATTTTATACAATATAGTTAATATTGAAATCCTAGAATAAAGTTTTATATCAGTACCCATCAATTTGACTTATTATGATGACTCAGCACTTTTCTCAACACAGTATTGTTCTCAGTGAAAAAATTCTATTCTTTGTGATAAAAATCGAATGTACTAACCAAAAGCTTCAAAACAGTATACTTTAACTGAAGTCTGATTGATTTTGATTTCCCTTGCTATCTTCAGTATACTGCGACATAATGATATAAAGAATTCTTATGACACCATTAATTCAATACTTGGTTATTGTGAAAACCTTGGCTATAATAAATACTTTTATGTTCCCATTACTTAAAGAAACATGGATCCTTTAATGTCCCTATCCCTACATGCTGGTTTACCTCTTTCTCTACTTCTTTGAGATAAGGCTTAATAAACAACCTGTATCCAATCATATCTTATCTTATTTAAAAAGAATAATAAACAGTTCCATTTAAACAGATAAAAATAACAGTTCCATTCAATTTGTAATCATTTCATCCAAAATTTACAGCATAAGCACAAACTAAAGATTTTTCATACTAATCTCCATTCCATGCTTTAGTATATGCCATATAGTGGTTCAAAATTTCAGAGCTTGTTATAAAATCCATTATTCTGTCTTGAGATGATGAAAACATAGATATTAGACACTTTCAACATTAGATATGCAAAATACTCAGCTGTAAAGTTGCCTGTATTAATCTATGAAAAAGCTGAATTATGTCCCTTGGGAGTATTAATTTCCAACAAAAGTCCTTTCAAACAGTAGAAAATGAAAAATTATATATGCCTGATATAATAAAAGATAGAAACTACAAAATGAAGCACTATTGAAATATTTGCTGCATGAATTGCCAAGAATATGACCAATTCTTTACACAGGAGAGTATAAATTCTATCTAAATTTAGCCTCAAGTGGGCCTCTTTTTCTCTTAAATTGACAATTTTAACACTGACAATGCTTCTAGTATGACCAAATATTGCCTTACTCCATAAACAGTACAAACTTAATCAGACAATTTTCCATTTTAATAGATTATGTCTACAGAAATACCCAAGTGATACATTTAGGGAATTACACAGCAAAAAAGGCAAATATTTCAGTTAAAAATATTTGTCGCGACTTGAATTCTGGTGTTTCCTATTGAATTAATCATTGCAAAAGGTGAAAACAAATACAAAAGAACTATAGTTTGGTGCATTTTATACAATATATTTATTTTTTGAAATCCTAGAATAAAGTTTTAGACAGTACCCATCAATTTGACTTATTATGATGACTCAGCACTTTTCTCAACACAGTATTGTTCTCAGTGAAAAAATTCTAGTCTTTGTGATAAAAATCAAATGTACTAACCAAAAGCTTCAAAATAGTATACTTTCACTGAAGTCTGATTGATTTTGATTTCCCTTGCTATCTTCAGTATACTGTGACATAAAGATATAAAGAATTCTTACGACACCATTAATGCAATACTTGGTTATTGTGAAAACCTTGGCTATAATAAATACTTTTATGTTCCCATTACTTAAAGAAACATGGATCATTTAATGTCCCTATCCCTACATGCTGGTTTACCTCTTTCTCCACTTCTTTGAGATAAGGCTTAATAAACAACCTGTATCCAATCACATCTTATCTTATTTAAAAAGAATAATAAACAGGTCCATTTAAACAGATAAAAATAACAGTTCCATTCAATTTGTATTCATTTCATCCAAAATTTACAACATAAGCACAAACTCAAGATTTTTCATACTAATCTCCATTCCATGCTTTAGTATATGCCATATAGTGGTTCAAAATTTCAGAGCTTGTTATAAAATCCATTATTCTGTCTTGAGATGATGAAAACATAGATATTAGACACTTTCAACATTAGATATTCAAAATACTCAGCTGTAAAAGTTGCCATTGTTGCCTGTATTAATCTATGAAAAAGCTGAATTATGTCCCTTTGGAGTATTAACTTCCAACAAAAGTCCTTTCAAACAGTAGAAAATGAAAAATTATATATGCCTGATATAATAAAAGATAGAAACTACAAAATGAAGCACTATTGAAATATTTGCTGCATGAATTGCCAAGAATATGACCAATTCTTTACACAGGAGAGTATAAAATCTATCTTAATTTAGCCTCAAATGGGCCTCTTTTTTTCTTAGATGGACAATTTTAACACTGAAAATGCTTCTAGTATGACCAAATATTGCCTTACTCCATCAACAGTACAAACTTAACCAGACAATTTCCCATTTTAATAGATTATGTCTACAGAAATACCCAAGTGATACATTTAGGGAATTACACAGCAAAAAAGGCAAATATTTCAGTTAAAAATATTTGTCGCGATTTGAATTCTGGTGTTTCCAGTTGAATTAATCATTGCGAAAGGTGAAAACAAATACAAAAAAACTATAGTTTGGTGCATTTTATACAATATAGTTAATATTGAAATCCTAGAATAAAGTTTTATATCAGTACCCATCAATTTGACTTATTATGATGACTCAGCACTTTTCTCAACACAGTATTGTTCTCAGTGAAAAAATTCTATTCTTTGTGATAAAAATCAAATGTACTAACCAAAAGCTTCAAAATAGTATACTTTAACTGAAGTCTGATTGATTTTGATTTCCCTTGCTATCTTCAGTATACTGTGACATAAAGATATAAAGAATTCTTATGACACCATTAATGCAATACTTGGTTATTTTGAAAACCTTGGCTATAATAAATACTTTTATGATCCCATTACTTAAAGAAACATGGATCATTTAATGTCCCCATCCCTACATGCTGGTTTACCTCTTTCTCTGCTTCTTTCAGATAAGGCTTAATAAACAACCTGTATCCAATCATATCTTATCTTATTTAAAAAGAATAATAAACAGTTCCATTTAAACAGATAAAAATAACAGTTCAATTCAATTTGTATTCATTTCATCCAAAAATTACAACATAAGCACAAACTCAAGATTTTTCATACTAATCTCCATTCCATGCTTTAGTATATGCCATATAGTGGTTCAAAATTTCAGAGCTTGTTATAAAATCCATTATTCTGTCTTGAGATGATGAAAACATAGATATTAGACACTTTCAACATTAGATATGCAAAATACTCAGCTGTAAAAGTTGCCTTTGTTGCCTGTATTAATCTATGAAAAAGCTGAATTATTTCCCTTTGGAGTATTAACTTCCAACAAAAGTCCTTTCAAACAGTAGAAAATGAAAAATTATATATGCCTGATATAATAAAAGATAGAAACTACAAAATGAAGCACTATTGAAATATTTGCTGCATGAATTGCCAAGAATATGACCAATTCTTTACACAGGAGAGTATAAATTCTATCTTAATTTAGCCTCAAATGGGCCTCTTTTTTTCTTAGATGGACAATTTTAACAAAGAAAATGCTTCTAGTATGACCAAATATTGCCTTACTCCATCAACAGTACAAACTTAACCAGACAATTTCCCATTTTAATAGATTATGTCTACAGAAATACTCAAGTGATACATTTAGGGAATTACACAGCAAAAAAGGCAAATATTTCAGTTAAAAATATTTGTCGCGACTTGAATTCTGGTGTTTCTAATTGAATTAATCATTGCGAAAGGTGAAAACAAATACAAAAGAACTATAGTTTGGTGCATTTTATACAATATAGTTAATATTGAAATCCTAGAATTAAATTTTTAATAGTACCCATCAATTTGACTTATTATGATGACTCAGCACTTTTCTCAACACAGTATTGTTCTCAGTGAACAAATTCTATTCTTTGTTATAAAAATCAAATGTACTAACCAAAACCTTCAAAATAGTATACTTTAACTGAAGTCTGATTGATTTTGATTTCCCTTGCTATCTTCAGTATACTGTGACATAAAGATATAAAGAATTCTTATGACACCATTACTGCAATACTTGGTTATTGTGAAAACCTTGGCTATAATAAATACTTTTATGATCCCATTACTTAAAGACACATGGATCATTTAATGTCCCCATCCCTACATGCTGGTTTACCTCTTTCTCTACTTCTTTGAGATAAGGCTTAATAAACAACCTGTATCCAATCACATCTTATCTTATTTAAAAAGAATAATAAACAGTTCCATTTAAACAGATAAAAATAACAGTTCCATTCCATTTGTATTCATTTCATCCAAAAATTACAACATAAGCACAAACTCAAGATTTTTCATACTTATCTCCATTCCATGCTTTAGTATATGCCATATAGTGGTTCAAAATTTCAGAGCTTGTTATAAAAACCATTATTCTGTCTTGAGATGATGAAAATATAGATATTAGACACTTTCAACATTAGTTATGCAAAATACTCAGCTGTAAAGTTGGCTTTGTTGCCTGTATTAATCTATGAAAAAGCTGAATTATGTCCCTTGGGAGTATTAACTTCCAACAAAAGTCCTTTCAAACAGTAGAAAATGAAAAATTATATATGCCTGATATAATAAAAGATAGAAACTACAAAATGAAGCACTATTGAAATATTTGCTGCATGAATTGCCAAGAATATGACCAATTCTTTACACAGGAGAGTATAAATTCTATCTAAATTTAGCCTCAGGTGGGCCTCTTTTTTTCTTAGATGGACAATTTTAACACTGAAAATGCTTCTAGTATGACCAAATATTGCCTTACTCCATAAACAGTACAAACTTAACCAGACAATTTCCCATTTTAATAGATTATGTCTACAGAAATACCCAAGTGATACATTTAGGGAATTACACAGCAAAAAAGGCAAATATTTCAGTTAAAAATATTTGTCACGACTTGAATTCTGGTGTTTCCAATTGAATTAATCATTGCGAAAGGTGAAAACAAATACAAAAGAACTATAGTCTGGTGCATTTTATACAATATAGTTAATATTGATATCCTAGAATAAAGTTTTATATCAGTACCCATCAATTTGACTTATTATGATGACTCAGCACTTTTCTCAACACAGTATTGTTCTCAGTGAAAAAATTCTATTCTTTGTGATAAAAATCAAATGTACTAACCAAAACCTTCAAAATAGTATACTTTAACTGAAGTCTGATTGATTTTGATTTCCCTTGCTATCTTCAGTATACTGTGACATAAATATATAAAGAATTCTTATGACACCATTAATGCAATACTTGGTTATTGTGAAAACCTTGCCTGTAAAAAATACTTTTATGATCCCATTACTTAAAGAAACATGGATCATTTAATGTCCCCATCCCTTCATGCTGGTTTACCTCTTCCTCTACTTCTTTGAGATAAGGCTTAATAAACAACCTGTATCCAATCATATCTTATCTTATTTAAAAAGAATAATAAACAGTTCCATTTAAACAGATAAAAATAACAGTTTCATTCAATTTGTATTCATTTCATCCAAAATTTACAACATAAGCACAAACTTAAGATTTGTCATACTAATCTCCATTCCATGCTTTAGTATATGCCATATAGTGGTTCAAAATTTCAGAGCTTGTTATGAAATCCATTATTCTGTCTTGAGATGATGAAAACATAGATATTAGACACTTTCAACATTAGATATGCAAAATACTCAGCTGTAAATTTGTCTTTGTTGCCTGTATTAATCTATGAAAAAGCTGAATTATGTCCCTTGGGAGTATTAATTTCCAACAAAAGTCCTTTCAAACAGTAGAAAATGAAAAATTATATATGCCTGATATAATAAAAGATAGAAACTACAAAATGAAGCACTATTGAAATATTTGCTGCATGAATTGCCAAGAATATGACCAATTCTTTACACAGGAGAGTATAAATTCTATCTTAATTTAGCCTCAGGTGGGCCTCTTTTTTTCTTAGATGGACAATTTTAACACTGAAAATGCTTCTAGTATGACCAAATATTGCCTTACTCCATAAACAGTACAAACTTAACCAGACAATTTCTCATTTTATTAGATTATGTCTACAGAAATACCCAAGTGATACATTTAGGGAATTACACAGCTAAAAAGGCAAATATTTCAGTTAAAAATATTTGTCACGACTTGAATTCTGGTCTTTCCAATTGAATTAATCATTGAAAAAGGTGAAAACAAATACAAAAGAACTATAGTTTGGTGCATTTTATACAATATAGTTAATATTGAAATCCTAGAATAAAGTTTTATATCAGTACCCATCAATTTGACTTATTATGATGACTCAGCACTTTTCTCAACACAGTATTGTTCTCAGTGAAAACATTCTATTCTTTGTGATAAAAATCAAATGTACTAACCAAAACCTTCAAAATAGTATACTTTAACTGAAGTCTGATTGATTTCGATTACCCTTGCTATCTTCAGTATACTCCCATACAGAAAAAATGATAGGATGGACAACTGCATTGCTCAAATGGCCGCCAGTTGAGCAAACAGTTGAGGGCCAGTTGAAGGCTAGCTGGCCATCAGTTGAGCAAATAGTTGAGGGCGAGTTGAGGGCTACCTGGGTTTTTGCCATGCAAATTAGGTAGCCCTCAACTATCAATTGCTCAACTTTATGCAAATTAGTTGAGCAAGGTTGAACAAAGTAAAGCAGTTGAGGGCTAGGTGTCCAATAGTTGAGCAATTAGAGTTGAGGGCTACCTAGCCATCAGTTGAGGGCTAGGTGGCCAATAGTTGAGGGCCACATCATTAAAAGTTGAGGGCTAGGTGGCCAAAAGTTGAGGGCCATATAATTAAAAGTTGAGGGCTAGGTGGCCAATAGTTGAGGGCCAGGTCTTTAAAGGTTGAGCATTAGCTGGTCATTGCTAATTCAACTGATGACTACAAATTGTAGAAAAAATTCCGGAGCACCTGATTTCACTCCCGGTTTTTAGTGGAGTTCGTGTTGTTTCTTATTTATGATTTTTAACTGTTGATGTAAATGTCTTTTGGTTTATGAGTCTTTGTTTACTCCTTGGTTTTGATTGTTATTGTCTTATATAGCCAAAATACTGCTGAAAGATCTAAACCGACAACAGACTACATGACAGCTTTATCCTTGCCTTTTAAAAGTTATCTAGTAAATTAAATCTAGTTAACCCTGCAGCAATATTAATTTTTATGCAAGAAGAAGTTAAATATATATTGAAACATTGTTTAATGATGAAAATATGCTTAAATGTTCTTTTCATTCTTTTTCATTATTTTTCTGCCGCTGTCCATTTTCTCATTTATTGCTCTTGTCACATCTGTTGGCAGCATCTTAAAATGGATAAGACCAAAGTCTGAAAGTAAAAAGAAATTAAACCTATATATATATATAAATATGATAACTAAAAATGTGATAAAACACTGTAAAATTAATAAGACGACATACCGGTAATCATATAATTTTTTTTTATTAAATTATCATTTGCATTAAAAGTCTGTTCTGTATTGCCTATGTTTAACCAATTATACAAATCAATTAAACAAAACAAATGTGGATAAATACATGACTAGAAGGTTTTTGATACTTTGCTTCACTATTTGAGAAAAAAAAAAATGGTATGAAATTATTTTTACCCACTATTTTAATCTGGTAAGCAAAGTTTATAAGGAATGACTGTAATATTTCTTCTGTCTATGAAGAAATAAGATAAAAAAATGTAGTGCACACTGAATAACCCGTGTAGCGTAGCAGGTTATTTTAAAGTGTGCACCCCATTTTTAATATTATTTCCAATAGACAGAAAAAATATTGCAGTCATTTCTTCCAGTTTAATTTTAAATTCCCTTTAAGACCTTTTAAATTCAGAATGATGTCTTCATGATTGATCACTCTATAGTTTAAACAAGAGGCTAGTAAAATTGCTCTAGCTATATCTAAGCAAAATTGTTTTTAATTATAGTTTAAGGTCTTCATAAAATTTCGTTTACTCTAGGTACTGTACCTGCTCATTTAATCATAAAACAATTTTTTTCCTTAAAAGGTTCAACCCCTCCCCTTGATAAACCAAAATAGCACAGGTCAGTACAAAGAGGGGTATTCAAAGGGCACATTGCAAAAATACACTAACAGTAACAGAAAGTGTTGTTAAACTAGAAAATTGGATTAAAACTATCAAACAAACCAAAACAAATTTTGGTTTTCAGCATGCTTATAAACTAAGCTATTCTTTTTTAATTTAAGCACTTTGTACCATTTAAACTACAAAAACAGGATATAAATTGGCCTGTGTTTTAAAAAGTATATCATGTACACTGAAAGTTTGTTAGGCATGTAAATCCCATCAGATATAAAAGGTCAAAGAAACTTACTTTCAACACTTGTCATGACTCCACCTAGTGGGGTTTTGGAGAAGGCAGAAGTGCCTCCTTTTATTCCATATTGCTCTGGGGTCAGAAAACAGTCGACCATCATTTTCAAAGCACATGGCCGATCTTTCTTTCTGAGACTGTATAGTGTGTTTTTATACCAATCTGTTGGTACTGCTAGTGGACTACCTTCTACCAAAAACTGGTAGCCAGATGGCATAGGCGAGTTCTCATCTAAAATCTAAAAAATAAAAACATGTTTGTATAAAGATTTTTACTTCAAATTATTTGCTATATAGGTAATATGGGCATGACTGATATCATATTCAAGGGAGATAAATCAGCCAGTTGTCCAGACAGTACACAACATTTGCATTTTATACATTGTTTCATGGTGTAAACAATAAACGTATTTACACTTTTGGTATTTAGCTGTATTTTGCCTCCGAATGACCTTATATCACCTCCAAATAACCGTTTAACGTCAAGCAACAATCACTTTTTAGTTGTGACGTCAAATGTTTTGAATTATGATGTCAAAGTTTACGGGAACCTGAGTGATTATATGCAATGGCGGACAAATTTGCATACAAGTGTAAATACGTCTATACACAGCTAGGACACAGCAAATTTGAATAACTATATACGACTGAATAATTTATTGTCTTGAATATGTGAAATAGTTGGAAAAGCTTAACATAACAACTTTAACATTGAAATGCTGACATGATGTCATGGAGTTTCTTTCAAATATACTTTTACATGTACTAGTAATATTTGTGTTTATTGTCAAATATTGTCACTTAAAGTCTCTCTGTACGTGTTTGTTATTGTCTTAAATATTTGTTGTTTTGCTTTAAAACTAGAGGCTAGCTCTAAAGAGCCTGTGTCACTCACCTTGGTCTATGTGCATATTAAACAAAGGACACAGATGGGTTCATGACAAAATTGTGTTTTGGTGATGGTGATGTGTTTGTAGATCTTACTTTACTGAACATTCTTGCTGATTACAATTATCTCTATCTATAATGATCTTGGCCCAGTAGTTACAGTGGAAAATATTTTGTAAAAATTTTACAAAAATTTAAAAAATTTATGAAAATTGTTAAAAATTGACTATAAAGGGCAATAACTCCTTAAGGGGTCAATTGACCATTTTGATCATGTTGACTTATTTGTAGGTCTTACTTTGCTGTACATTATTGCTGTTTACAGTTTATCTCTATCTATAATAATATTCAAGATAATAACCAAAAGCAGCAAAATTTTCTTAAAATTACCAATTCAGGGGCAGCAACCCAACAACAGGTTGCCTGATTGGTCTGAAAATTTCAGGGCAGATAGATCTTGACCTAATGAACAATTTTATCCCAGTCAGATTTGCTATAAATGCTCAAGTTTCAGAAATATGAGCCAATAAAGCATTTTACCCTATGTACTATTTTTAGCCATGTCGGCCATCCTGGTTCGAAAGCGGGGTCATCGGACACATTTTTTTAACTAGATACCCTAATGATGATTGTGGACAAGTTTGGTTAAATTTGTCTCTATAGTTTCAGAGGAGAAGATTTTTGTAAAAGATTACAAAAATTTTCGAAAAATTGTTAAAAATTGACTATAAAGGGCAATAACTCCTTAAGGGGTCAACTGACCATTTTGGTGTTGTTGACTTGTTTGTAGATCTTACTTTGCTGAACATTATTGCCGTTTACAGTTTATCTCTATCTATAATAATATTCAACATAATAACCAAAAACGGCAAATTTCCTTACAATTACAAATTCAGGGGCAGCAACCCAACAACGGGTTGTCAAATTCATCTAAACATTTCAGGGCAGATAGATCTTGACCTGATAAACAATTTTATCCCATGTCAGATTTGCTCTAAATGCTTTGGTTTCAGAGATATAAGCCAGAATCTACATTTTACCCTATGTACTATATTTAGCCATGTCGGCCATCTTGGTTCGCGGGCGGGGTCACCGGACACATTTTTTAAACTAGATACCCCAATGATGATTGTGGCTAAGTTTGGTTAAATTTGGCTCAGTAGTTTCAGAGGACAAGATTTTTGTAAAAGTTTACGGACGACAGACGCCGGACGAAGGACGCCAAGTGATGAGAAAAGCTCACTTGGCCCTTCGGGCCAGGTGAGCTAAAAAGTTATCCATGCATATATTTTACATATAAAATTGAGAATGGAAATGGATTATAGATTAAAATAAGCTTGGTCAATCACCAGTCATTCCAGACAAAAATGGCTTTAAAGGTGAGACTCTGATGAGTGACGCAAGCTCAATATATAATAGGCTTTCATAAGCAAAACAATTTAAATGGCATAAAAAAATTAATGATATACCTTGTATTCTGTAGTGCAGAGTCTACCCCTCATCCGTTTATTTATGAGATTTGTTTCCAATGGCTCCAGAGGTCTAGCAACTGTAAAAATTGATAAATTTTAAAATCAACACCTATGAAATTAGTGTTGGTATTGTCATACCAGTTTATGGAATCCAATTATCTTTGATTTTGATATTTTTTAAAATTTTATGTAGAACATCATGAACATAATTGTGTAATGTCAGCATATTTGAAAATGTATGGAAAAAATACACATTTTGATATGTATTCATTTATGTTGTCATACATGTAACATACAGTTCAAGGGATATAAAGAAATGGTGTGAATATAGGTCATGCTTTTATCAATTTATTCTCCTCTTCCAGGACAAAATTATTTTGAATCTTATAAAAAGCAAAATCATACATGTATGTTATATGGCTTAATTAATTTATTAGCAACAGTTACACTGATGAGACGTAGGAATTTGAAATGTGTATCTGTTGCATTTTATTATATTAGAACTAGGAGTTCTTCAAATGTTTTCTTGAATAATTTAATTTTGGATGTAACACGTCTTCTGATAGGCTGACGTGGTTTTAATTATTTACCAGCTCATAGACATAATTTTGTCATGTGACCGTGACGCCATCAAAGTTTTTTCATGATTTACTCCGCTTTGAAATGGAATTAAGAATTAAGTTATAAGAAATGACTGGAATGTTATTCCTGCCTACTTGAAATAACATAAAAATGGGGTGCACACTTTAAAATAACACCCTACGCAGGTTATTCAGTGTGGAACACATTTTTTAATGTTATTTCTTCATAGACAAAAAAAATATTCCTATAATAAGATTTAATTTCACTATAGCAAATTCAATATACAAGACAAGCAAGATCAAAACAGCACTGTTTTGTCAGAGTATCAAGCATAAAACTTGTATAAATATTCTTCCAATATTCAAATTGATATACCACATGTGTGCATGCATAGCACAGGAGCACTAATGAGAATTGTTTATAGGAAAAATTACCTGCACCTTTGTTACTGTCAGTGTCCAGTTTCATGTTCGCAATTTCCTGCTAAGCATTGGCTAGTTGGATTGTAAGAACTTTAATTTTTTCCTCTTTAGCATGACAAAGAGTGCAGTTATAATTAACATTACTACTTGTATTAGTTGTGCTCAACACAGAGTTAGAATGGAGGTCACCAGGATCTTCTATAACAGAGTCAGAATCATGACAAACAGATACATCAATTTCACTAGTGTTAGTGCTTTCATTCATATTAGTAAGCGACTGGTCATTTTGAATTTCAACTTCGTGCATAATTTTGAAAGGGTTATATAGACTGCAAGTGCTTGTGGGTCTCATTGGCTGAGGATGATGCAGGTTTGAAAAAGTGTTCCCTTGGTATGGATTACTTAGAATAGAAGAATTTTGCCAGTATGGTGGAAAACTAGGATAACTGGTTTGGAAGTTATTAGCAAAAGAGTCTCTGTTGTTATACTGGTTAAACATGGAGTTCTGATGGTAAGGATATGAACTTACAGGTCTGTGTAGATGGTTAGTTTGCATGCTAGGATTAAAGTTAGATTGGATGTTAGATGTTGGATTTGAATTAACTAACAGATTGTTAAGATTGGATTCTTCAAGCTCAGTCTGGGTGTTAGTTGCATTCTGGGAAGCTAGACACACTTTCTTAGGAAGGATTACTTCAGGTTGCTTGTTATGTTCTGGATTAGAGGAAATTATTTTAGACTGGCTGCTGGGGGATGGTTGCGAACTAATAATAGGATTGTTAATTTCACTAGGTGCATGTTCTTCAGACAGGTTATCAGAATTAGAAGGGTTTGTATTATCTACCTGAGGCTGATCATGCACATTCCTGATCTGTGAGAACATGCTTTTTGCTTTTTCATAAGCCACTTTTCCTCGTAGTTCAACTTTCTTTTTATTCTCTTCCCTGATAACTGAAAAAAAAGTTTCATTAAGTTTTTTTTACCGTTACAATTTTGTCAGGGCTAGCTGACAAGTAAAAATAATGTGGCAGGATAAAACTGTTCAAACACTGCAATATACATAATTAAATCTGAAAAAATATTTTATTGTAATAGCCCAATTACCCATTTATAAATACCGTTTTACAAAGTTTAGGAATAATGCCAATTATGTTTATATTTGATTTACTGTAAGGCCAAAAAAAAATATATGTCTGTTTACGGTTACCCGACCTACCCTACTTTTAAGCGCCGACCCTAAGTCATTTTATTTCCGTCGTAAAGTGAAAAATAAACTGAACTCGTGTCAAAAGCGAAGTTAGTGTTGCAAATGATATAAATCAATTGCCTGATACATCCCAATGTTCACAATCGTGAATATGACAGCTGTTTTAAGGAAATTCGCAACTCGTGTGATGAAATTAACACTTTGCCGCCATTTTTTTCCAAGGGAAATAATCCAATCATCAAAAATACGGGTAAACTCGGCCCATGATCAACTCGGACCACGACAAGTCGAAACGGCATGACTCAAAATCATGTCACAAAAAATAAAATAAAATGAAAATACCGACCTACCTACCCTATTTTTTTAAAGTATGTAACCTTAAACAGACATATATTTTTTTTGGGCCTAATAAAAAAATATTGTTCATTCTTTGTTTAGTTTGATCATTCTGATAAGTTTTAATTGTACAAGGCTGTCTCTGACACCAGACGTCAACTGATAAGAGATTACAGAAACCTTTGCCAGAGGAATTCTTTTAGTAAGGGCTTTTCCAGTAATTCCTTTTAACCTTATTTTTCAATGCAATTCCCCTCACCTTTTTTCTTGACTTTTAAGTTGTCATCAAGTGTTTCACTAACACTTTTTTCTTCTTTATTATTATTTTGGCCTGTAATAGAATGAAAATGTCCTAATTAACCAAAGTATCACTCGCCATTAAGGTGGAAATAAAATTGATGGAAAGTTAATTGTTGATCGAGCACAATGAGAACTTTTTCTGTTTCGACAAGTTTGATCAAATTCTTTTAATTCTGTTGTTTTGGAGTAGAAATTTTAAATGTCTCTGCCAATCAGAGTTCTGTTGGCCATCTTGGATTTTAAAAGTAACAACAAGCGGTCAGGACCATGTTAGAATCAATTCATACAAATTTTGTCATATTCTGGTCAGTGATAAGAGATTACAGAAACCTTTGCCAGGGGAATTCTTTTAGTAATTAAGGGCTTTTCCAGTAATTCCTTTTAACCTGATTTTTCAATGCAATTTCCCAATTACCTTTTTTCTTGACTTTTAAGTTGTCATCAAGAGTTTCACTAACACTTTCTTCTTCTTCATTATTATTTTGCCCTGTAATAGAATGAAAATGTTATGATTAACCAAAGTAACACTGGCCATTAAGGTGGAAATAAAATTGATGGAAAGTTAATTGTTGATCGAGCACAATGAGAACTTTTTCTGTTTCGACAAGTTTTATCAAATTCTTTTAATTCTGTTGTTTTGGAGTAGAAGTTTCAAAAGTCTCTGCCAATCAGAGTTCTGTTTGCCATCTTGGATTTTAAAAGTAACAACACGTGGTCAGGACCATGTAAGGATCATTTCATACAAATTTTGTCATATTCTTGTCAGTTGTTTCAGAGAAGTGTTAATGTTGACAGTTATATGCACGTACATCAATTCAGAGGCTAGCTTTTGCAGTTTTTAAATTGGTTTTGGAAAAAGGAAAATCAATTGCCATATATTTATGAAGCTTGAGAAAATACAGTTAAAGTACTTTCACATTCCTTGCAGTAGTAGCTTTTCTTTTTCTTTTTTTAGCTGAAATCAGCTTTTTGGCCAGCTCAAAACTTGTTTTCTCTTCGGCAGCTGAAATAATTACAGAACATGTTAATTCATTCATATTATCAAAATGTTTGCCAGTAACAAGCCAAAAGTAGTTTGTAAACATACATTGTATATATATATATATATATATATATATATATATACATGTTGTATAAATATAGTATATTTTAGACGTAAATATTTGCACTTGTTTGAAATTTTATCTGAAGATAGAGTTCGCGAAAATGGTCGGTCCAGTCGGTCCTATCGGTCAAAATGAGGCGCGGACCAGTATTTTGAAGGCTAGTGCCGGTCCCAATGACCGATGCATTTTGAAACAGGCCGAGGGTTATAAAAAAAACATTTTCATGGTCATCCTGTTGATATGTTTGTATAATGTAAGTTAATTAAATTCATGTCTGTTCCTGGAAGTCAAAAAGTTTATCATGTTGACACTGGGGATGGCTTGTGTTCTGTAACCCCCTCCCCCTTTGGCAACAGTTTAAAATGTTTCCTAGACAGACATGAGCTTATTCTATACTATAACAGACCCTTACTTCAGTTAAAATAATTACAAGAAAAACCTTCGGTTATGTGGCAACCAAGTGTCTCCCCCTTTTTCCCTATCGTCCTGTTATACGACATTTTTACTGAAATATCATTAACAAGTTATATATTCACTTTTATAACATGTATGTATTAATAGTTTAAAATGCTTAAATTGTATCGAAACAGACCTTTTTTTTACGACAATTCAAATAATTCGGGAAAACCTTCCAATGACTTCATCATTGTTTTTCAAAAGTCAGTCACGTGATTATACGGCCATTCAATACTCTTCGGGTCTTATCGATTCTGTACAATGGTAAAAAAGATAATATATGTTCCGGAGGAACGGGTGCTCCAAATTTGGAGGAAAGAACAGAAAGACGAGATTCCGTGTTTATAATAAAATTTTAAAAAAATCTATATTTATCATGAGTTATAAATATCGCCTGTAACAATTCTGGTCCATATAAAGCATGCAAATTTTTTCAAATGACAATGGTTGTCCTGATTTCAGTTCCACATTTGCTCCGTTGTATGTGCTGTCTATATTAACCACTCCGAAGTGTAGATCTTGCCAAAATATCACTAACCAGTCATTGTCTGGAAGTCCTTCATCTGGTGCAATTTTTGTTACTTTATCAAGGTCAGAATGGTCTTTTAACTTGGACAATAATGCGTTCGGTTGTTCTGCCATTTTCAGTGTTCCACAAATCGGGCGCCAAAGATTGCGTACGTTTTCTGGAGAAGATCAAGATCGTGCTCCCGAGAGGCGCTTGTAAACATGAAACGGAGTCAACATGGTTCAGAAAATAATGTAGAAGGTATAACATTTGTCTATTATGGTAAATCAGAGATGATTATAATACAGACATGGTAAATTACAGTGGCGGATCCAGAATTATCCAGAATTTTTCATAAGTGGGGGCCCACTGGCTGCCTTAGAGGGGGCCGCTCCCGTCACGCTTCAGTGATTCCCTATGTATCCAACCAAAATTTGTCCACAAAAGAGGGGGGTTGGCAGCTTTACTTTAGATTATAGAACTTGAAGACAAATCCAAAAACAAACACAGTGTTATACATAAAAAACAGATAACAAATTAAATAACAATTAGTTGACATTATAAATCGACTGAAAATACAGGGTCATGCATGGCTTTTGATGGTCTAAATAATTATGACGACTTGGAAGGCTATTTTAAAGTTTTACTTTGACACTTTCCTGTCGATGTAAGGCGTCAAAAAAAAATATTAGCCTTTCAAGATGTCATAATTATTTGGACTAGGCTTTAAATTGGACAGGCATGTACAGAATTGGGGGCGGATCCAGCCATTTTAAAAAGGGGGGGGGGGGGGGGGTAGTTCCTAACCCAGGACAAAGGTGGGTTCCAACTACATGCATTGATCGTCAAAAAAGGGGGGGTTCCAACAGCCATGACATGTTGCTAGATGCCAAATATTAAATTTTAAATGAGAAAAATATATCACACAGTGTTGAAGCTAACTTGACCAAGAGACATTGGACCACTTTGGTCACATTACGGATGTATAAACATGACAAATTTTTTTAAAATTAACATGTGCATATATATATTCATTTATTTTTTTAAATATTTGATATATCTTTCAGGTAGAAAGAACAGTTGTGAAATAATGCCTGCCAAAAAAGTCAACAAACTAGGTTATGTTCGACCAAAATCATACAATTCAAAGTTTGCGAACAAATCAGAACCAAGTACATCTGCAACAAATATCTGGGATCAAAATTTAGAACATAATGCATTTGATCACACATCAGATGCAGATACCGGTAATGATTTCACTGCCCTTACAGCTGTTTTTTCTCCACCAAATACCATTGAACAAGATATAGGACATTCAACAGTTGATGAACTGCACATATCAGAATCAGATAATGATTTTATTGCGGTTATGAATTTGCATGAACATAGTGAATCTCAATCCATTGATTATTTGACAGATATTAATATTGAAGATGATATACAGAATTTAATTAACAATCATAGGGTAGAAGATGTATTTGATATGAAACACACACAGGAATGTAATAACCACACAGAGGGAGAGAACATTGAAGTTCAATTTAATGATAATGATGATGATGATGATGATTTCTGCACATATGATTGGTTTAACCAGCTTGATTTGGATAATGAAGATGTTGCTGCTGAATCAGACTTACTAAGTAAAGAATATGTGACTGAACAGGAGTCAAGTGAAGAAGTCATATACCCAGGACATTATTTGACAGTTAAAATGAGTGTATTATTAATATGGATGTATGTTATAAACCATTGCAGCACAGTAGCTCAGTTGGCTGATACGTTAACACTTATTGGATTTCACTGTTTAGTTCCACATCCTGCTTTAAAGAGTGTATACATGTTAAAAAAATATTTTGCAAATATGAAGTCTCCTTTGAGAAAACATTTTTAGTGTAGTTCTTGCATGACAAGCCTTGAACAAAATGTGAAAGTTTGCCCAAATACATTTTGTTTGAAAGATCTGTCAAAGAAATCAAGCAAGTCATATTTTCTTGAAGTTCCTGTTGAAACACAAATTAAAAATTTGTTTAAAAGAGACACATTTGTTCATAATCTCAGTAAACGATTCAACAGGATAAAAAAATGTGAAGACAACATTGAAGATATTTATGACAGTGAAGTGTATAGGTGTTTAGTAGTCAACGATGGTCCATTGTCACAAAAATATCCTTATAACATTTCTTTTACTTTAAACACAGATAGAGTCTCTGTATTTAAAAGCTCAAAAATGTCCATATGGCCCTTATACATGATGATCAATGAACTACCATTTAAAATTCGTAAACAAAGAGAAAACATGATTTTATGTGGATTATGGTTTGGCGATACTAAGCCTTTTATGCACAGTTTTACAGAGCCTCTCCTGAAAAGTCTACATGTATTAGAAAAAGGGATCTCCGTTCCTGTTGATAATAAAATGGAAACTTGCAGTGCTTACCTGATAAGTTTAACAGCTGATCTACCTACAAAAAGTGCAATATTAAATACTATTCATATAACGGACAATACAGCTGTTTAGGTGTACACAGAAAGGAAAAACTTTTAAATCTGCAAAAGGTGGCAGTATTCACGTATTTCCTTATGATGAGAATGATCCTACTGGTCATAAACGAACCAAAAAAATGTGTATGGTTAGTGGACATGAAGCATATACCACAGGTTCAACAATTAAAGGTATTAAAGGACCTTCATTTTTTATGGCCATTAAATCATTTGACTTTGTTAAGTCAGTAAGTATTGACTACATCATGTACATGCACTGTGTTTTACAAGGAATATCAAAGTTAATGATATCACTCTGGTGTGGATCAACACATTCTGATGAGTCATTTTCATTGTATTCCTATGTAGATGTGGTAGATTACGGTTATCAAAAATTAAACCTCCTTCAACAATATCCAGAATGCCAAGATCAATTTCACAACATTTTAAATATTGGAAAGCATCAGAATTGCGTGCATGGTTATTATTCTATTCAGTTTCAATTGTTATGGATGTTATGAGCACTATGCATCTTTATCACTACTCTGCCTTTGTGGAAGCCATTTATTTATTGATTAGTGATAGTATAAGCATGGAAGACTTGGAAAAGTCACACAAACTATTGTGTTTCTTTGTTCACATGTTTGAATCATTATATGGTGAAAGATATTATACTCTTAACTTGCACTCTTTGCTTCATTTAAGTGACAGTGTAAGAGACATTGGACCACTTTGGTCACATTCTTCTTTTCCATTTGAAAATGCCAATGGTGAACTGCTCAAGCTGTTTCATGGAACACAATACATAGATCTTCAGATTGTTGGAGCTATAAATGTGTATCAAACTCTGCTTTTATTAACTTCAGATATTGAGAATGATTCACAGGTATATAAGTTTGTCTGCAAGATGAGAAATCATGATCTCCAAAAGAGTAATCGCACATCCTGTTATCGGTTCCTAGGTAAAAGATGCGCTAAAAATATTACAGCAGAAGAACATCAAGGTATAATAAACTTTTTAGGGCACCAAATAGATGTTATAACATTCTATAGCAGAATCTCTTTGAGGGGTCAAGTGTATCATTCCACTGATTACACTTGTGTCCAAGTGAGGAATTCATATACCGTTTTGTACATTGATGAAATTGGAGAAGCTAGCTATGGATATGTATGCTGGTATGCCAAGCACACAACAGAAATTGAGGAAAATAGTAAGGTGATCTGTTGTGTAACTAAATTGAATTGTGCAAAACTGCAACACTTTGGACAATCAACTGATCAACCTCTGATTGATAACTTTTTAGGACTTTCACTGAAACACATCCATGTTTTGGCCGTCAACAATACTTCTGACAAAATAGAAATCATTCCAATAGAGAACATTTTATCTTTGTGTGTTTGTATTGATAATGGTTCACATGTATTTGTATGTGATGAACCAAA